GAGTGCACAGGAGAACTTTTAAATAGAGCTTTTACTAATGCAAGTAATCACATTTAAGTTGATGCAAGGAAAGCTGAGCATATGAAGCTACCCTGCCCATGGCAGGGGGATTGGAATTAGATGATCTTCAGGTCCTTTCCACTCCCGGCCATTCCGGAGTGGATTCAATGCTTCATTCAGTGAGACTGATCTACAGAACTGTTCCTAATAGCTCAGTAACAATCAAGATCCTTGGCCAACATATTACATGTACAGAGAGAGACAACAAGCACAGACAAGTACGCATAAATATGTTTATTGTTTGAATGTGACTGATATGTTAGATTTTATAATTTGAAGGTATGGTGAGTACAAAAGCTTGAAAAATTAAAGATTGGATACAGCTGTAATGGTGATAGCAAGATATCAAGTGTTATTCCTAAAAAAATTGCCATTTTTTCCTTCATATAAACATAATAAATGTATTTCTGTGCTTGCTTTAAAAAACTGAAATTTCAGGAAAGAAATTTATTCAAATTGTTAAGACTGTTGAAGTTAATACAGCATCAGTACAATAGCAATTTTTATTATGTCTCAAGAACTAGAAATGTATGCCATCACTACTACTAATTATTTTGTAGTAGGCTTTTCGTACAATTACAAAAGATAATTTTATTAAAAAAGTAATTATTAAGCAGTATTTCTGAAATGTGGTTTTCTGAAATTCCTTCTGCACAGAACATGATGCACTGTAGTATTTAGGGAAAAATTCATCAGAATGTTGTGAAATCCCTGAAGAAAACTTCATATGGTGTGGCAAATAACTTTGAAAATGAGTGAATAAATTTGATCGCTGGATTTGTTGGATGTAAAATTGCAACTCAGTAATACTTCTTAAGAATATGCATCAACTGTCAAGAATTATTTAGGCTGGCATCATTCCTACACACATATAACTCATCCCTTTTACACACACTTACATTAGGGCATGGACATTTGAACTGTGGCTGTCAAGATTTATCTTTGCTCTGTGTTCTCACTGTTTCTAAATAGTTGCATGTCTAATTCATCAGTCATATTAGAAGTCACATAAAAGTCAGTCATCAGTCATATTAAATTTTTAATGACAGTTCTTGTGTCAATATTAAATCTCACCTGTGTATCTGAATTCAATGCTATGCTCTTTCTGACTCACGTCATCGCCAGTAATGCGGAGTCTGCAACTGGGATTTAGCCAATAAATACTGATGACAGAAGGTCCAGAATAGAATCTGTCTTATTCTCCAAACTGATATTAACTCCTGCACCATTGTCCCCTTTGTCAGTTCTGCACCTGGAACTGAGTCCGTGATTCCATTGACAATGGATATGTAGATTTCAGCTTTTCACATATAATGGCTCTGCATAGAGAGAAAGAGATTTTTTTTTCCTTCAGACTAATCAAATTAAATTTTGAATATATAGAAAGAACTGATCATTTTTTACTTGTAGCTCACTTCAAAGGCACATCTGGCCTAATTGTTTCCTGACAATATGAGGGAGTGCTGAAGTATGGAAGAAATCTTGACCTAATTTATACATCTGCTTATTATGTAGCAATTTGCTTTTGATACTGTTTATCTATTGGTAATATCTGTAAATGTTATTTTCACCATGAACAAATATGGGCACAAAAAACATGACAGAGGTGTATATGTACATATAAATATTATATATACATATTTTTTATATATGCATATATAGATACAAAATACTAAAAAAGTCCCAGGGGAGGACTTATAGAGAAAGAGAGCACAGTTATCAGTATGGTAAGAAAACCCATTTGTCAGATGACGTTAACAGCCTGCTTTCAATGGCAGAGCACCAAGATGCCAATTGGACTTGCAGTTCAGAGTTGTCCTTTGTGCTCCTTTTGTATTCATCATATTTACTCATTAAAAAGTACCTTCACTTAACTTTCCTTTCAATTCTGTACGTATTTGGAGGTCTATACAAATACATTTGGACTAAGGATTTTTTTTTTTTTTTTTTTTTTTTTTTTTTTTAGAAGACTTAGAGCTTTTTCATAATCTGGCACTTCTGCTTGGTTTTCTTCACGTATCAGGAGGCAGAGGGTTTGGGAGAAAACATACGTGCGTAGACAGGAATTAATTCAGAAGTGAACGGAATCAGCTGCATCTCTTCCTCAGCATCTTGTCAGGGAGAAGTTGCTTTGCCTCCTATTCGTAGACAAGGGAGGCCTCGTGTGGTCGGTTCTGCTAACAGCTTCGTGCAAAGCTGCGGGGAGGTGAGAGCCCTGCCTCCTGGCCGCGGGGTGAGCGCCTGCTGTCTGCCAGCAGCCTGTGGCATAACTCCGCTCTGACACTGCCTTCACCAGCACTGCTGGGCCTCCTGGTTCCTCAGCTGAAGGCTTCATTCTGTATGAATAACCTGGCAGTGTTTTGTAGCAATACTGATGAGTAGATTTGAGGAACAAGAAATACCTGAATATGATCACAGGTGGTCTGTTACAGGACAGGTCAGAAGTAGGAAATACTGCTTTCCCTGTTCCTTTCTTCCTTACTGTGTTAAAACACAGATATACCTCTGACGTGAACATTTTAGTGTTTTTGGATTCTTTCTCAAAAATGCCCAAGCAATAAAAACATTTTTTTTCTTCTTGGATTCTCCAGCAAAAAAAAAAAGATATAGAAGTGTTCTAATTCTAAGAGAGGCCTTACATCGTCAGAAATACAGACAGTGTTCAATGGGAACATTACAGATCCCCATGTTGGTGTTGGTTGTGAAATACAAACTGCCTATAGGTTTAAAATGTTAGGGTGTGAGAACCCAGTGAGAAATACTTCATGAATAAAACAAAAACATCACTACTATTCATTTTTACATAGTTCCTTATGAATTCATTTTGTTTTAAATACTATTTATTTGGAAATGTAAATTTGAATACATGTATTTAAAATCATTTACATACATGTAATATGTTCAATTAAAGAGATTCAGTACTTACTAAACTAAGCTTTTTATGGTGGGGGATTTTGACACATACAAAGACGTCATCTATTACAGTCATATTACTTGTGTTGTAATGTTAATTAAGAAGACAGTTTGTCAAGTGTCATAATTTGTACTTGATTGCAGTCTACTTGCGTGCGGCTGATGTGGTAACCTTAATCATAGGCCTCACTTTCTTCCAATGTAGGCTTCTAAACCTTTGTGTTTTCATCCCTTTTGACTTATAAGAGCTGTTGCCTCTTTCAGTGGATTTAAATTCATTTATTTGCTTGACATTAGTCAAATTTTCCCCTAGAACTGAAGGTACTCGGTGTTGGGATGCAGTTCTGAAACACACTGCTCAGGCAGGCCATCACTTGGCATACAGGAACAGTTGGTGTGAGGGGCTCATAGGCCCCGGCTGTACTCAGTGTTGGGGTGTAACTCTCACCGTACTGCTCATTCAGGTCATCACCTGGTGCATCGAAATGGCTCATGTCAGGGGGCCCATGGGCTGATGGCAGCCAGAAAGAAAGCGAGCACACCTTGCCTGTCCGGCTGAGCCTCCTCCCCGAGGTGCAATTGGTGACTGCATCTCCACACTGTGCATGGTGGGGCACTTTCTGTTGATGGAAGCTGTTTGGGTTTTTTCTCATTGAATGGTCCCTAAGACTTCACATACAACCCTTTCCCCCTCACTGCAGAATAGTTCAATTTTTTTAGACTTAGTCTAAAAAAACACCACCAAAATGGAGCAGCCTTCTCTCTTGAGATTGACAGGATAGCTGGAGGCAAAAGCAACGTGTATTATTTTACATTTATATCTTTATTTCTGTGAATGTAAATGAGGGGCATTTGGCAATGGAACAGTTTACCCCTGGAGTTATACTCAGGATCTGACCTCTGGTAACATATTGTTTTGTTTTGTTTTCTCTTTTTCTCTCTTTCCCCTGACAGCATGATGCTGACATCCCTAATACCAAATAAAAATACCTGCACAAAAAAAAAAACCCCCCCCCCCCCCCCCGTTTTTTTTTTTTTGAGAGGCCATGTGACCTTTCCACCTGCGCATCCATCTTCCCGCACCACCCCAGGGAATGTCGCAGCCGGTTTTGCGGCCGGCTTCCCCGTAGGCAGGGCCGGCCTCCGCCGGCCCCCTCGTTCCGCTGCGGACAGCAGCATCCCCACGCTGTGCTGAGGCAGGCCGCTCGCCCCGCAACGCGCCGCGCCGGCTCCCGGAGCTGCGGGCGGATATGGCGGGGTCCGGCGGGGCGGCGGCGCCGCTGGTGCTGTACCACTGGACGCAGTCCTTCTCCTCGCAGAAGGTGAGGGTGGCGGGGAGTGGGCTCGGGGCTGCCGCTGCGGTGGGGAAGGCGGGGGCGAGCCGCCTCGCTTCGCCTGAAGGGCGGCTCCGCGACGGGCGCGGCCTGCAGGCTGAGTGGAAGGACGCGGAGGTGCGGGTGTGCAGGGGGTGTCCGTGGAGCTCGCTGGGGATGAGCAGGGCAGAGTGCGGGGCCTGGCACGCAGAGCAGGAGCCGGTCTGCCGAGAGGAGCTGGACTGTGCACGCTGCATCCCTATCTGCCACATCACAGAATCATGGAATGGTTTGGGTTGAAAAGGACCACAATGATCATCCAGTTTCAACCCCCTGCTATGTGCAGGTAGCCAACCACCAGACCAGGCTGCCCAGAGCCACATCCAGCCTGGCCTTGAATGCCTCCAGGGATGGGGCATCCACAACCTCTGTGGGCAACCTGTTCCAGCATGTCACCACCCTCTCCTAATGTCTAAACCTCCCCTGTCTCAGTTTAAGACTATTGCCCCTTGTCCTATCACAATCCACCCTTGTAAACAGCCGTTCCTCTTCCTGTTTATACACTCCCTTCAAGTACTGGAAGGTCGCAATGAGGTCTCCCCAGAGCCTTCTTTTCTCCAAAATCTGGTCGTATTTTTCCAGGTGCGCCTAGCCATCGCTGAGAAAGCGCTAACGTGTGAAGAACATGATGTAAATCTGCCCCTGAGTGAACACAACGAGCCGTGGTTTATGCGCTTAAATGCTTCCGGAGAAGTACCCGTCCTCATCCATGGGGAAAATATTATTTGTGATGCAACGCAGATCATTGATTATCTCGAAGCAACGTTTGTAGATGGTAATCCTATAGGCGTTTCAGTCCATTGTCTTTCTCACATATACAAGTATCATGCAGCAGTGTCAGAGCTGGATCTGTATCAATTCATGTTTGTTTTGTTCTTTATGGCAAAATCTTCATAATCCTGCAAATAAATGGGCTGTGCTGGTGCTGGGTGGTATGGGACAAAATGCCAAAATGCCTTCCTTTAATGTGGTCTGGTCCCATCTTCCAGTACCTTCATGAGGATCTGTAAATGAACATGCTGCTGTCTTTCTTACCCATTCTGGTAGCACGGAGAAGTAGAAAAATGACAGCACTGTGCTGTGCTAGTTCTGCTCTGAGGCTGCCACAGAACAGGCTGTATTCAACAGAATTGCAGAACTGCCATTGTCAGACAGCTCCTACTTTTCTGCAAGAGAGAGAATAGTGGACATTGCGGGTCAGTTCCAGAATAATCGCAGGGATAAAAAAGGAAGTAGAACAAATATGTTATTTTTGGAGACAAAATGGAATAAAGGGGTAAAAAGTAGGAAGAAAATACTTGTATATGGTTGCTTTTGACATTGTTTGTATCTGTGTTACTGGAAAATAGCCTTTCTCAATTTTGAAGAAAATGAATAACTTTCTTTTCTTTGGATTGAAAGAGGGAGCATTTTTGTGTTTCAGGGGTTTGATGGTTCTGCTGTAATTTCCAAGGCATGAAGAAAACTTCACATGACGGGCAGTTTACACTGGTATTTTGGTCACATGAGGGAGCAAAGCGTGGATAGATTAAGGGCAGGATAAAACTCGGTGTTGTGTGCAGGAGTACTTACAATGATGCTATGAATTGGTTTTCTCTAAGGCAGTATTCAATTTTCATAGCACTTTGGCTTTAGTAAGGTTTCAGTTGTAGTAGCTTATCTGAACCTCTGTTGTCAGAGTGAGAAAGGGTTGTGTGCGACTATAATCTGTTCCTGGAAGTACTGCATAGGTGCTGAATCAGCGTTGCTGGTTTGAAGGCCTCTTAAGTAAATGCTTGTGTAGAATGCTGCATTGGAATGGGATTATTCAAATGACCAAAGTATGTATGTGTACATTTTGCCAAGGTATTGAGTAACAGTGGGGAATAGCAAAGCTCTTAATGGTTGTGTCATTCATGGTAGTTGGACTAACTGAGGTAACTTTGGAAGTACTGTTCTTCTCAGTCACATGGTTCTTCTGTTTTTAGCTTTTCTTTTGTATTGCAGCAGAAGTGCCAAGACTAATGCCGGAAGAAGAGAGCATGTATTACCCAAGGGTGCAACACTACAGAGAGCTTCTAGACTCCTTGCCTATGGATGCCTACACGCACGGCTGCATTCTGCACCCTGAGTTAACTGTGGACTCCATGATTCCAGCCTATGCTACAAGCAGAATCCGTAGTGCGTACTGTTATAGATCTGAGGGCATGTCATATAATAAGATGTTGGATTACGTTCATCTTGTGTCTTTAGTGTGTCTTAAGCAGAATACATTGGGCACATATTTCTGATTTTAATTTCAGTGCTCAGTAATTTGTGTGTATACTTTTTATTTGTTTTGTAATCTGTTAGCATTTGAAAATGGAAATGAGGAAGTGTCGCTTTTGAGATGTCTATGGAATTAATCTTCCAAATGATGGAAAATATGCTGCATGAAACAAAATGACAGCTATGACAGGTGTAAATATTTTATTTTCTGATCTCGTTTCATGCTTGTAGAGAAGTTTCCAGGGAACATAACTGGATGGAAGTAGCCTATGTTTATCTGACAAATGGAAATCATTAAAGCTCAGTTTAAACCCTGTGTGCAAATAACACAGCAATATAGAATCAGGATAAAGGATGAAGTAGAGTTCTGATAGAATCAATGGTAAAATATTCCTTGATTTCCCTCAAGTCAATATTTTACCTGGAGGACTTTTCTACACATACCATTTTCCCATGGAAAAATGTATTAAAGGAGCAGAGGAAATAACTGCAGGCTATGTAGCTCATTTCCCTGTATATCAGAGAAATCAGAGAACCTCTCCACATGAACCTGGTTTCAAATCCAGTAGTTTTCAGACGTGCTTAATTTAAACTCTTAGCAAATAGTTTTTCAGTTCTCACAGCTCTTTTTTCCTTTCTTCTCTTCCTGGATTTGGACACCAGAACTAGATTTTGTATTGTGTTCCCTTTGGTATCAATTGGAGGCTAACATTTAATACTTTATTTGCATTTTAATACTGTATGTATATTCAAGAGCTCCACTGTTCCCTTCAGCCACAGAGTTGCATGAGGAATCCTTGTTCAGCTGATTAATGAACATGAGTTCAGTTTAACTTTTCAGAACTGCTTTCAGACTTATAGCATTCTCTACAAGAAACTTGGCCTGTATCTTCTGTGAACTGTACCTTTTGCTTCAAATTATACTTCATATCGGATCACACTGAAGCAGATAGTGCTCGCTTAGGCTCACTTTAGCAGCCAGTCCAGGCCATTGGATATCACTGCCATGCTGAATACATAATATAGAAGATGATACCGTCTACCATAATTGAAGTGCCACTTCTCAATTTTTTTCTGTGGTATTTTTACACAAACTACTAATAAATTCCTGTGAATTGGAGTGGATTTGGATAGCTAATGTAATTCCTTTGGTTTTCTGTGTGTTTTTTTTTTTTAATATCAGGTCAAATAAGTAATACAGAATCAGAGTTGAAAAAGCTTGCAGAAGAAAATCCAGACCTTCAAGATGCCTACATAGCGAAACAGAAGCGCCTTAAAGTAAGAAAGCTTTTTTGTGTTCCAGTCCTTTATTATCAGCTTGTTAGTGTCAGATTTTTTCTGTCATGATATAAACATTTGTTTCACCTGTCATTACCAGTATAGTCATGCAGTGGTTTAACCCTACATGGCGTGAAGCAGTCTATCCCCCAAATCAGCTACACGCTTCGAGTGTGTGCTGAAGTGTTGGACTGGTTCCACTGACTTCATAGGTAAGTAGATATCAGCATTGGTGTTGGGATGTTGAGCACAATACAGGACGAGGCAAACTGTGCTATCTAACTTCTCTAATATAATTTCTTGTGCTATCTGAATTGTTAGGAGTACCCAAAAGATATGTGGAGAAAATAGCTACATTTTATGAATAAGCACTGTAGTATCTTAAGTAGAAGTTTATCTTACAGAAATGTGAACTCTATACATTAAGAAACTAACATGTACATATGTTTAGTCTAAACTGCTGGATCATGATAATATAAAATACCTAAAGAAAATACTGGATGAACTGGAGAAAGTTTTGGATCAGGTTGAAACTGAATTGCAGCGTCGAAATGAAGAAACACCGGGTAAGGAATTATTGTTGCTAAATCCTGTTGATGCTTATGTTTGGGGTAACTGAGTAAAGTGGTTGACAGCATCATTATGGGCCTGTTTTAAATACATTCAAAGTGATACTTTTAGCATACAGTGATCTGACTTCACGGAACAGGTTAATACTGTTCAAAATACTTGTTCAGTTTGCTGCTGCTGTTAGTGAGTGGAAATCTTAGTGCCTGATCACATTTCAGCATATTGTGAGTATAATTAGTTGCACAATTTTAGAGTATCTTGTAAACAAAACAAGAATAGCTGTAACTACAGAATGTTATTCTTGATGTTGTAGTTGTGGAACTCAGTTTACTATAATGCTCTTGACTTTAATGGTAAACACAGTTTATTTAAAAGTCTCATTTAAATACTGTAAGGACATAGGGTGCTGGTATTTGTAGCATGTTCAGAATTAGCAACTTAGATACGTGCTTTAATCATTGCACAAGCCTGCTCTCTTGAAAACCTTGAGAGTGTATACCTGCCATCTGTCTAAATGAAAGTTGAGTTTTGTTTGAATGGGAATAGCCCTCTTACTGAGATTCTGGTCCAACTCCCTGTAATGCTAATAAAAATTCTTCCTCTGACTTCACTGGGATCTGCATGAAGCATCAGTCAGTATCAACTGCATCTGCTCAGGTCAGTAATAGTGCATTTGGCTCTGTAAATAGCTGTTGTAATAATTATGGGTTATCATTAAGACAGTAGATTTGAAAAAGCAGATGAAAATCTAGGTTAACTTTTCTGCTGAATCAACAGTGAAAGAGTTGCAGAAAGTGGTTTAGCTCACATAGGATGGTAGAAATCTGTTCAGCCAACAGCCTGTCACCATTCCCAGCAGCCCTTTACTTTCTGTGCTACACAGGCTTTCCAGTGAATCAACTTGTATGACATTGATGAGCTTGTGAAAATTGGCAGACTTTGTAGGATTTAAGAAAACATACGACTATTAAATGCCTATTTTAATTTTGTCTGAGGTATTGACGTTTTGGGAGCTTGTGAACAATGCTTTTATCAGTTGCTGGCTGATCTCTGAGCATTTGCTTCTCTTAGTACTGCTTAGATCCCTCATTGGTGCTGCCACTGCAGACAGTGGCTTTTACACAGGTTACCTTATTTGGTCTTCCTTTCTATCATCTTAATGCACTGGGTTAATTCCCAGATGGCCTTTCCACAATACAGGAAAGACTTAGAGACCATTCTTCCAGATCTGTATAGCTGGTTGAAGTGGACCAAAAGTGTCCTGTTTTGTGGGGTGCTTTCCTCAGGTGACAATTAACTTCAAAGGGATATTGCAAAGTTTCACTTTTTCTGTAGAGGTGCTGCTGTACATTCATGCCAGTGTTTTTGCATGTCTTCTATGTGGGAAAAACTGCAAAAAGTTGTAGATAGGGAGGGAATAGCATAGTCCTGTTTGAGATCTAAATTAGAGCAGAGTGCTCACTGGCAGCTAGATTTCATATCCTAGGTTTCAAAAGCTTCCTATATAAGTCAGTACAGATATGCCCTTCCGATGATCTGCATATCAGTGTAGTTAGAGTAGTGCCTGCTAAGTCATCTCAGGAAGATTTTGCTCCTTGCTTTGACTACACAGCTTTTGGGTAATGATCATTTCTGAAAAATCTTGATGTAGACAACACGGTTTTGGGTCTAGGAGGCACAGAAGGACAGTTGGCAGAAACTCTCTTCTTGTGGAGCTGGTGTGTTTGGTACACGTTAGTCATTTAATTTGTTTCTTTTTGACTTGAAAATCTTTAGCAAGCTAGAAGCTGTTGAGTGAACTACCATAGGGATATTTCACTTCAGACAAGATAATAAATTCTGAAGGCAAATAGTAGCTTTTCAGCAAAAGCTCAGAAGCCTTTCTCCTTTTTTGCTCCTGTTTAAGTTACTTCAGTTTGGAGAAATGAACTCAAGAAAAATAAATGTTTGCTGTGGGTTTCAATTTCTGAACCTGAAATGTGGTTCTTTCTTCCTTTACAAATGCAGGCTAGGCTGCTGAACCTAAGATTTTATGTGATTGTGTGAACAATGGAGAGAGGGTGTGATCAGTGAGGACTGGTAAAATGTTCAGATCCTAGTATAGCTGCAGTGTTAGTGTTGTTTGCTAGCATTTTGAAGTAGCACTGAACTAACCTAGGCAGTTTTCTACTTGCGTTTGTACCTCTTCAGCTCTTAATTCTTTATGTTTTATCTCTGATTAGAAGATGGAAGTCAGCCTTGGCTATGTGGTGAATTCTTCAGTTTGGCAGATGTATCACTTGCTGTCACGTTACATCGGTTGAAATTTCTTGGATTAGCAAGAAGAAACTGGGGAAACGGAAAACGGCCGAACTTGGAAGCATATTATGAGCGTGTCCTGAAGAGAAAAGCATTTCACAAAGTTTTAGGACACGTCAACAATATATTAATCTCAGCAGTTCTCCCAACTGCATTTCGAGTGGCCAAGAAGAGAGCACCCAGAGTTCTTGGCACCACCCTGATGGTCGGCATGCTAGCAGGAATGGCTTATTTTGCTTTAGTGTATCTTCGGAAGAGATTTGCCAACATGATGTTATCAATTAGAACCAGACAAAATTATTCTTAGCCCCTGGTGGTAAGTGGAGGCCATCTCTACTCCACCAGTAGACTATACCCAATAAAATATAAGGGTATAAGAAAGGTTATGTTTGTGAATTAGAACTTTCTCACAGTAATCATCTCCTGCAGTTGTATAATTTGATTGACAGTGCTGACATATTTGCAGAAAATACATATTTGGGGGGGGAGGGGAGGGCAACAGGGGAAAGAATCAAAATACTCATAGAATTGCTTGGGTTGGAAGGGACCTCAAGGATCATCAAGCTCCAACCTCCCTGCTGCAGGCAGGGCCACCAACCTCCCCATTTAATACCAGACCAGGCTGCCCAGGGTCCCATCCAAGCTGGTCTTGATCACCTCCACGGATGGGGCATCCACAACCTTTCTGGGCAGCTTGTTCCAGCACCTCACCACTCTCATAGTAAAGAACTTCCCTCTGACATCCAACCTAAATCTTCCCTCCTTCAACTTAAAGCCATTTCCCCTTGTCCTGCTGTTATCTGCCCTTTCAAAGAGTTGGCTCCGCTCCCAATGGTAGGCTCCCTTTTTTAGGTACTGGAAGGAAGATACTTTCTTTTCAGGTGTGGAGATGTAAAGACTGTGATAGTTTTGTAAAAGTGGTTAGTGTTTCTATCTCCTTTACCTAGTAGCTGACCTGATTATAATATATTTATTTAATAGCTGCAGGAGTGTGACAGCTTTTCACTGTGGGTAAAATTCATTACTGTGCAGAAACCAGCATTGTTAAAATACTGAAGATAGTACTTAGTTTAAATGCTCAGAGTAGGATTTGAGTGCCATTTAAGCTCTGTGCCTTTCATGTATGAGTTGAATATCTCTACTGATGAATGTCTACTGATTTGCAGTTGGATATTTAAGAATGTATTATTAAGCAGCCTTCTAGAGCCACTTTTCTGCAAGTATGTTATTCATTCAGTAATGCAGGAAGAGACCTGAAAAGCATATAAATATCCATGATTTGTGGGCCACTTGAGTGAAATTCTTTAGAGGCATCAGCAGCCAGCAGATTCTGGACTTCTCTTGATACACAGATGAGAGTGAAAAACTTGATACTTGCCTTTTTAATGTCTTTTGGGCAGCCTTTGTCCCAGCCAGATACCCAGTTCAGCTACAAGGCCTGGCTGAGTCACGCCAAACTATCCCAGTGCAAATGTCCTACTTTCATTCCTATCTCCTCCTTCTATCTTGCTCTTGTGGTGGCTTGATGCAGTTTTCTCCATATTAGTGTCCCACATACACCCTCTTGTTTCCACTTTGAGCACTGGCTGGAGTTTTTTGCATGTGACTTAGCTATGTTAGCAATTGCATGAGCCTCTATGAAATGTTTGCCCACAGTGTTCCACAGCCAACTAGATAATGTATGTACAACAATGCATTCTGTAAAAACAATTTAAGATAGTCTGGTTGGATAACCTATGTTGCAGGTTTAGCAACCTTTTTACTTAGAGAGTTATCATATTGGTGATAAGTGAAAAATATAGGTCGTTTTGGGAATAGATGCAGATTTCTTTGCAAAGCTCAACACTCCCTACAGTCTTGTAGGGAAGGAGTAGAAAAACACCAATACTTTCCACGGCTCAGTAAGTATTAACACTTCCATTATGTTTGAACTGAGCTCCCATTTCAGAAAGAAATGCCCATCTACCTGAAGGTAGACTTTGAATCATTTTGCTGAGAGAAAGCAGTGAGTAATTGCTGAGAATTCTGACAGCTGTTTAGTAAGTTTTCTGTATTCTTTCTGAATGTTCCACCAAGTTAACAAACACAGGGTAAACTTGTAACTTAATGCTTCCCTGGCATGTTCTTATGGCAGGTCATCTGTAAAATACACTCTGATCAAGTCACAGTAAAGTTCAATATTTATGACAGCTCCCTGTGGGATAGATTTAGTTTTTATTTTTTTTCCCTTTTTTTCTTTTTAAAATATGTTAGTTTTAGTTAAGAACACACATTTCCACTTCTGTGCTGAGATATGGGGTAATTATTGATGAAGCTGTTCAGTTTTCCTTCTCCCCAAGCTTGATCGCTGTACGTCAGCTAGTGCTCATTTCTTCCCAGGATCTGCAGATATTGTTGGGAAGGACTGAACTGTCCACCAGATGTCAGTGGTCCTCCAGGGCATGCATGCCTCTGAGATGTACTGGAAATCATGAAGTTTTCACGAACAAGATGCTGATGATCTCAGTTTAAGATGGATAATGTGAGCATGCTCACAAAACCAGTAGTCTCAAGAGCCTTGAAACAACTGCTTTGGTCTACTGCAGGCTAGTTTTGTAATATTTATAAGTTTTGCTTGTGAGTAGTTTCTATACTAGTTAATTGAGATTGTTCAACAGAGAACAAAGCTCAAATGGTAGCTCACATTAAAATGAATGCTACTGAATAGCAATTAAACTTGTCTGCCAGGAATGAACAGGGATAAAACTTGCTGAGAAAAGTTTGGGTCCCTAGTTTTAATGAAGTTCTATTCAACTAAAGCTACTCACTTTCACAGTCCTGAAATACAGTGCACAACGTTGATTTCTGTGCAGGTGGCAGCAAAAGGCTTATCTGTGATTGTATTCTAAAGATTTTAAAACACATACACTATATATGACTCTTTGTGCACAGTACCTTTTGTGTGGTTCTTGTAAGTTTTCTTTTCAGCCTGCCTTATTTTCTTTGCTGAGTACCTCTGGATACTGTTTATATTGGATACACAGTCTTCTGATTTTCATTTACTATTTGCTCTCATATCATGCATCAGATAACATTTCATATCATGTCTTTATATGTGGGACCAGGAAAATAAACATAGATTCTGAGATTACTTTCTAGATTGGTTTATGTATTCTTTTGCAGTAAAACAAAGCACACAAAGCACATTTGAGATTTGTACAATATTGCTGTGAGTAGTCTGAAGCTGTTCAAGGAGAAAAGCCTTTGATATTTGAAAGGTGTCCAACAGATTGATCTGTGTGTACCTACAAACAGCAGTTCCAATGGTAGTTTTCTTTGGCTGGCTGGCTGAGCTGTATATGCACAAGGCTCAACAGAAGCTATTTAATGTTAAAATCCCACTTGAAAGAGGGTAAATTGTTTTTGTGTTTTCAATTAACCTATTAAAATACAAACAAAAATTTTTCCCTAGTGAATGTGACTCTTGGTGTACATTGTTGCACTAGACACTCCATTCTGTAGGTTACTGTGACAAACAAAAAACATGGTGTGTCTACACTGATGATCATAAGATGGTCATAAGTTTTTATCCAATCTGCATTGGATAATCTTTCTTGTTAAGCAGAGGAATAGATAACAATACTTGTGGACTGCATATGCTTTCAGTGTTTAGAAAGTCAGCAGAGCTGCTATAATCAGACAGCTGACAGAGCTTAACTTTAAGGATATTATGATATGCATGGTCTCTGGACCAGCTTTGAGGTGGCTGTGATGTTAGCGTTAACCGGAATTACATGTGAAGCCCTTGCTGTGAAGAGTTTTTATCATCTAAACAGGAAAGAGAAACAAGACTGAATGGAAGGATAAATACAGAGAGTATAAACACGTTTTCCAAATTGGCATAGTCATACATCCACTGTTGCATTTGAAACTGTTGCAGATGAACTGTTGCATCACATTTTTAAGAGCATTTTTTAGTTAATGTCAATATTAATTTCAGAGAAAGGAGTTACTAGCATGTAGAGAGCAGACTGGTATGCCATGCCAAATTGCCAGTGTAGCAGGAGATGGAGTATCATAGAATCACCAAGGTTGGAAAAGACCTCCAAGATCATTTAGTCCAACCATCTAGCTATCACCAATATTTCCCCACTAAACCATGTCCCTTAGTACGTCTAAACATTTCTTGAACACCTCCAAGGAGAGTGACACCACTACCTGCCTGAGTAGCCCATTCCAACTCCTGACCACCCTTTTGGATAAGAAATTTTTCTAATACCCATCCTGAAGCTCTCTTGGCACAACTTGAGGCCTTTCCTTCAGTAGTTACACAGGCGAAGAAGCTGACCTCTACATTACCTCAACCTCCTTTCAGATATGAGGTCTTCCCTGAGCCACCTTCAAAATAAACCCAGTTCCCTTATTCGCTCCTCGTAAGACTTGTGCTCCAGACCACCTCACCAGCTTTGTTGCCCTTCTCTGGACACACTCCATGGCCTCAATGACTTTCTTGTAGTGAGAGGCTCAAAACAGCAAAATACTCAAGGTGCATCCTCACCAGAGTTGAGTACAGGGGAGCAATCATCTCTCTGCTCCTGCTGGCAACACTGATACAAGCCAGGCCACTTGGCTACCTGGGCACACTGCTGGCTTTTGTTTAGTTGAGCATTCACCAACACTCCCAGATCCACACAATCTTTCAGACACTCTGACTGAGGCCTGTAGCATTGCCTGGAGCTGTGGTGGCTGAAGTATAGCACTTAGCACTTGGTCTTGTTGAACTTCATTCCATTGGCCCAGCGTTCCACCTGTCCAGATCCCCCTGTAGGGCCTTCCTACGCTCCATCAGCAAACCTACTGAGGGTGCACTCAAGCCCCCCAACCAAATCATTAGCAAAGATACTGAACAAACAGCCTCCAGTACCAACCCCTGAGGAACACCACTTGTGATCAGTCACCAGCTGGATTTAACTCCACTCACCACCATTGTCTTGGGCTGCCCCTTCAGCCAATTCTTTACCCAGCAAAGAGTGTACCTGTCCAAGTCATGGGCTACCAGCTTGTCCAGGGGAATAGTTTGGGAGAGTTTCAAAGACTTTGCTGAAGTCTAGGTAGACTATGTTAACAGGTTTCCCCTCATCCACCAGGCAGATCAGTCAATCATAGAAGGAGAGCAAGTTGGTCAAGCAGGACCTGCCTTTCATAAACCCTTACTGGATGGGCCTAATCCACCGGTTATCCCACACATGCTATATGATCTCAGTCAAGATGATCTGTTCCATAGCCTTCCTTGGCACTGAGGTAAACCTGACAGTCCTGAAGTTCCCCAGATCCTCCTTACAACTTTTCTTGTAGAAGGGAGTCACATTGGCAAGCATCCAATCCTCTGGGACCTCTCTGGTTAATCAGGAACACTGATAGATGGTGGAAAACAACTTGGCTATCAC